AAAGCCCTCCCCAATCCAGAGATTTAATAAATATTTTGTTTTGTTGCCCTTCAAATATGGGTTGCTTTTGAACATTGATTCGTTTTCATCCCTTTCATAACAACAAAAGATATTACGAAAGAAGAATTAACACATACTTGTATAAAATATCTACATTTATTTCTCAGATTGATCTGGATTTTATATTTAGTGCCATGGGAGAAAGTAAACTGTTTTTCCAATCAGGTAATGAAGTCCTCGCCGCACCACGAATTGAACAATCCATCTCTCCCCCGCTGACTTCTGCTCCTGTCTCCTATTGCATACATTAAATTCATAACTATCTGCACTGAAAGCATAGGCAGGAAACATGATACTTGAACTGAATGTGATGAGGCAACTCTGAGTGGGGGCGGGAATGATTGCCAGGAAGCAGGAGGGATAGCTGCAAGTAGGAATGAATTTTTTTTTAAAAAGTAGAAAGGGCTCTTCTCTGCCACACAAGTGTTCCTTAGAGACTCCATCCTTGTGTGTGGCACATAAACCACTTGCTCTTAGGACGTTTGACTACGAATCACTTCATGGCTATAGACCTCTGTTTCCATATATAGATAATACCTACCCACTGCCGTCCAGTGGATTCCGACCCATAGAGACCCCATAGGGTTTCCAAGGCTGTAAATCTCTACAGAAGCAGACTGCTACATTTTTCTCCCACGGAGCTGCTGGAGGTTTTGAACCTCCGACCTTTCAGTTAGCAGTCAATTACTTTAACCACTGCGCCATCAAAGATAATAACAACACCTAAATCATAGAGTGCTGTGCAAGTGAAAGCTAACACAAGGAGCACAGGCTTCAGAGTCAGTGAGCCTGGTGTCTGACACTTGGCTCCACCACAAATTAGCTGTATGACCTTGGGCAAGTTTTCTACCTTTCCAACCTGTTTACTTGTCTGAAATATGTGATAATAGTAATAGCTATCTTACGTGGTTAATATGAGGATTAAGGAGTCCCTGGGTGGTACAAATGGTTAACGTGCTCAGCTGCTAACTGAAAGGTTGGAGGTTTGAGTTGGGTGCCTCGGAAGAAAGGCGTGGTGATCTACTTCTGAAAAATCAGCCATTGAAAACCCTCTGGAGCACAGGTCTACTCTGACACACATGGGGTTGTGTGAGTCATAGTGGACTTGATGGCAAGTGTGTGTGTTTGTGTTGTTGTTTTTTTTTTTTTAATGAAGATGAAAGGAACTAATGCATTTAAAGAGCCCAGTGCAAGGTACCTGGCACCCAGTAAGCTTTCAATAAATCACAGTTGTAGAATTTTTATTTTTATAGATATTATGGAAGGATCAGAAAGAGAAAGAAGATTCAACAAAGGAGACTGAGAATTAGGCACCGCAAAGATCGGGAGAGGGAAACTACAAGACAGATGTCATCGAAACCAAAGAATAATAATGTGTCAAGAAGGAGGGAGATAATGCAAAAGAAGGGCACTCAGAGGCTAGTTTCTTCTGACAGGACAAAAGAGTAATTTTCATCTCAGCGACTATGAGAATCAATGGAGAAAGGGAGGGAAAAAAGCCCCATAATTGTAAATGAGGCATAATCGGACACGAATTTCTTTAAAAGACTTCTTTCAGCTAACCCCATTAGTCTGATCTGAATGCCCAGGTATTGGTTCCATATATTCCAATTAGGGAGAATAAATATTTCTTGAATGAAGGAAAAGCCAGTATTATACAAAGTGAAATAAAAAAGAAGTGTCAGGTTTACATGATGTTGGTGAAATAAATATGTAGACAATCTCAAGTTTACACAACACAGAAGAGGATGGGGGAGGAAAGAAAAGATGAATCACATAACAAGGTTTTCAAAGCAATGGTCTATACTGAACCTCCAAGCTGACGCCAGTGAAAAAAAGGAGACAGTGGTAAATGCAGCATCTGTTTTTCTCTTTCTGGTGCTAGAATTAAATTATGACAGGATAAACTGTGTATCTGGGTAAATCATTCACCAAGTGTTTATAGAAGAAAATTGAGAGAAGTTCAGCAGGAAGTAGAATTATAATCTGGGATAGATGAATGGGCATATGCTCCCCAAAGGCAGATTTGGGGGAGGGAGAGGAAGAAGTAAAGCATTATAAACCTAAGAGAGCTGGGGAGTGTTGAAGTCCCTGTGGCTTTAGGGACCTGAGTGGAGCTGCCTCCTGCCTGGGGATCCGGAGAAGGTCCCCTTTGGCTCTGGAGAGATGGAGGTCGCTGTCAGGGGCCCAGAGGTGCCCCAAAGGGAAGCAGGGCCTCTTGAGCCTTTGCTCCTGGCCAGCTCCCAGCTAAAGGGTCAGAGGCAGAGGGGCGCTCCCAGTCTCCTGCTGGCCATGAGGGTTAAGGAGGCTGAGGCTTAAGGCAAACATTGAATGCTGGAGGTGGTCAGGGGCAAGATTAGCTTGGAGTCTGGGCTGTCCGTGCCCTCTAACATGTAGTTAGGGTGAGACTTGGGGGACACTGAGCCTCCCTGTGCTGAACTTTCATGAGTAGCTAGCTGTACTCTCCTTAATTGGGGAGTGGAAGAGGGTAGTGTTAGCCCAAAGGACATACTGGTTATTGAGACCAGGTGTTATTCAGAAGCAACAGCAATCTAAGGAATCAACCCAGAGAAGGGCCAGCTACCCCTCCCCAAAGTAAACAGGAATGGAGCCCCCTGGAATTCTCATTGTTGGGCTACAGTATAACCTCACTCCCTGCCTCCCCCCTGCCGACCCTGGTCATCATACTTACATTGAGAAATTATTAACTAATTGGTGCAGAGTTTGGCTCTATGACCTAGGTAGGAGACAGGTAAGTTATGATAAGGGGCTCTTTTGGAGATAGTCAGCTGTGATGGTTAAGGTTGTGTGTCAACTTGGCTGGGCCATGATTCTCAGTGGTTTGGCAGTTATAATGTAGTTTGGCAGTTGCGTAATGATGTAATCACCTCCATGATGAGATCTGCTAGGAGTAGCCAATCAGTTGAAAGGGAGTTTCCTGGAGGGTGTGGCCTGCATCCAATATATGTGGACTTTCTGGCAAAGCTTGCTGGCTTTTGCTCTGCTCTGGATCGTGCATTTGGCTCGTCATCATCTGACCTCCAGTTCTTGGGACTTGAGCCAGCAGCCTACCATCTGACCTGTGGATCTTGGGTTCTTCAGCCCCTGCAGCTATATGAGTCAGGAAAAGCCTCCAACCTGACACCTGACCCACAGACTTGGGACTTGCCAGCCTCTACAACCATGTGAGCCATTTCCTTGATATAAATACACACACACACACACACACACGCTTTACTGGTTTTGCTTCTTTAGAGAATCCAGCCTAAGACATCATCCCATTTCAGCTTCCCTTTTCTTCATCTGTCAAATGAAGTTGATAAAATGAGGTTGATACCCTCACCCCATGGTAAAACCCACTGCCATCGAGTCAATTCTGACTCATAGTGACCCTATAGGATGGAGTAGAACTGCCTCATAGGGTTTCCAAGGACCAGCTGGTGGATTTGAACTGCGGACCTTTTGCTTAGCAGCCGAGCTCTTAACCACTGTGCCACCAGGGCTCCCACCCCATGGTATAAACCAAACCAAACCCATTGCCATCGAGTCGATTGTGACTCATAGCAACCCTATAGGACAGAGTAGAACTGCTCCGTTGGGTTTCCAGAGAGCAGCTGGTGGATTCGAACTGCCAACCTTTTGGTTAGCAGCCGTAGCATGCCGTAGCTCTTAACCACTGTGCCACCAGGGTTCTTTGACTCCCAATTATAGCTTTTATTTATAGTTTTCTTATTTATTTTCCTTTATTTCTTCCTAAAAGTAATATAACACAGAGACATTAGATGCTAATATACATTCATTGACATAAAAGAAGTCTACAACATATTATTTGGTTAAAAAAGAATACAGAGTCTAGAACACCACCACTTAAATTTGATCACTTTTACCTGTATATGTATCCTATCTGGGTACACAGGTTAGGTAAATATCTAGAAGCATATTTATCAAAAAGTTAACAATGGTTATATAAGGGTGGAGGGTTTCAGGTAGTTTGTACTTTAGTTTTTGTGTTTTATTTTTTTGAAGGTTTGACAAAGAGTTATACTGCTTCCATCAAGAGACTAAAGTCATCAAGGAAACAGACATAGAATAAATAGACTCTTAGGCAGGCGGGGGAGGGAGCAGGGACAGAGAGGCCAGGCCATCCTTCTCCACTGTCCTGGTATCCAAGACCTGTTCTCCTCCTCCCCCAAAGAAAAGTGCTTTGTGGATTAACTCAGACCCACCCACCCCCAGTTCCACTGGACTTTGAAAACAAGGGTTCATTTAGGGGTGGGGTCTAGCACCTCACTGTGGCTTAGAGGGCTCATTGTCTTCTCCAGGGGACTCTTTTGAGGGCTCCTCCTCTGTATGTGTCAGCTCCTGCAGGGTGACCATCAGATTCTCAAACACCTGAGCCCTGTTGCTCTCACTGATACGTTTCTTTTGTATGGTTCTCCTTGCTACAGTATGAACAGTGGGTTGTATATTTTCGCTTCCTGGCTCTATGCTTATCCCCAGGACCATCATCCTTATGCCCAGAACCACCACTGGTGGAAGGAGACTGGGCCCTGGAATTGTTGGGGAAATCATTGACCAGCACCTGATCCTGAGATCTGGCCCCGCATCTTCAGGGAGGAGCAGCTGTGGATGCAAGTGGAGGGTCCTGAGGCTCCACCGGGATCACATCCTCATCTGAGTCATGGAGGGTATCTTCTATCTCTATCACGTTGCAGTTAGCACTGCCAATTGCTATGGGCTGGGTGCCCTGAAATGCCACAGGGCTGGCTGCCCTCTCCAGGATTGGCTCAGATCTTTTGGGCCGCTTCCTTTTAACAAAAGTGTCATCCCAATCCTCTTCTGCCTTTATCATCCTGATTAGCTCCAAGAAATTGGGAAGACGTCCCTCTTTCTCTGCATACATCCTAAGAAGATCCTTAAGCCTGAAGCGCAGGTCCATTTTCAGCTCAGCCCCTAGAAGGAGCTGGTGCAGGCATGTCTGGTTTGCATCTTTCTCAGATATGATCCCTGCTTGAATAGCATTCCGAAGCTGCACCTCTAAATGGATCACATAAAGGGGCGCTTTCTCCCCTTGCGCCTGCAGATTGTTAAAAAATTTACCATGGGCAGTCACACGGCTTTTATTAGACTCCCCAGACACCAGTTTCATGGCCCGCAAGAAATCTGCCACTTAGGTTGGGTTTGGCTGCCTGGAGTAAAAGCGTGACCTCAAGCGCTTGAGCTTTTCCTCCTCAGAGGAATTCCAATCTGGCAAGATCCCACTGACTTGAATCAGCCAGTTTTCAAAGGTTTCTTCCCCCTGGGCTGGCACCACCCTCTCTGAGAACAACTTCATGTTTCTCTCCACCAAGTTGGTCATTAAAGGATCCAGGCTTTTCCCCAGGGACTTCAGCGTGGAATGGACCCAAGGCGGTAAAGGTGTGTTCTGCCGCTGGCTATTACCCATACGTGCAATGATGCTAGCCAGTACTGACAATAATCGTCTATCTAAATACAACAAGATACTCAGGCTTTTCAGAAAAGCCTAATCTGAAGGAGGAGTCCCCAAAGCAATTATCCCAGACTCTGCCTTCCTTATATCTCAAATAGGAACTGTAAAGGAAACAAAACAAAAAAAGGTCAGTAAGCAGGCTGCAAGGAAGCAGTCTACAGCCGCATTCTCTTCCTGAATATGCTACAGGATATTTTACAACTGCTTACTGTCCTCACCGAGGTAGCCGGTGTCCCTGTGCCAGCACGGCGCTTTTGGAGCCAGCCACATTCAGCCCTTCCCGCCAGTCCTCCAGGAGCTGATATTAGGCTTTCCAAATAGGGCTCCATGGTCTAAAGTTCACAGATTTGTGGGAATAAATAAGATCTCATTAATCTCATTAATCTCATGGTCTCACGTCTCAACCACACCCCCTTCTCAAGTTTCGCCCGTTCTCGCTCAGATTCTTACATGATCTTGGGAACAATCGCACGCCTTTATTTCACTTCCAGCCTGTGCGACTGGTGTCCTTCGTGAGAACGGTCGCCTCTGGGGTACGGTAAACCTCTGTCCACCGAGGGTTGCCAACCCGGGTCCTCAGGACGTCAAGACTGCGCCGCTGGCAGGGAAGGGTCAGAAGCGGCCTCCCCCCTCATCCCCACAACCCATTCCCGCCTCTGCTGTCGCCAGGCGGAAAAATTCCTCTCTCACCTTCCGAATACCAGCCAAAGCGACCCCTCCCATTATATTCCCCCCGGGAAACCGTGGGCCTACCAGCTCTGCAATCAGCCACACAGAATTCAAGTTCGGATTCGGCTGATGGCCTGCCAGGGAGAAAGGGAAATGAAGTTGGACAAACACACCCGCATATTCCTCCCCAGGAAGGCAAAGGGGTACAGCTTGCAATTCCCCTTGCCCCTCATCCCCCATGAAAATGCTCCTCACCCATCAATCCAGGTAAATCCTACCCATTCGGCGGCATCCACCTGTATTCCACCTCCTCCCTGAGTGCAGCCCTGCCTCAGGGTTGTCAATTCCCCAGTACTAGTGGGGGCGCCCAGCTGGTCTCTCCCAGCCGGGCAGTCGGGCCCCTTTCTTTACCTGCGGGTGGGCAGCGGATGCGCAGGCGTCGACAGCTGTGCAGTCCGCCTTCCGGCCTCCGCCGCCCTGCAGGGGATAAGACCGGACGCCTCCTCTGCCCACCGCTAAGCGACCGGAGGCCGCCTAGCGAGGGGAGCCTCGTGGAGGCGGTGCGGTGGCCAGGACAGCGCGGCGGCCCCCACCCGCCCGCTCGGCCCTTCCAGGGCTGCGGCTGCTTTGATCCTTTGGCCATTGGGACGAGAGAGCGCCACGAGCCCGGCCGCGCGGCCAATCAGCGGGACGCAGGGGTGGGCTCCTCGCGAGCCGCCGGCCCCCAGAAAGCGAACAAGAAGGAGGGAGCGAGCGGCGGGAGCTGCGGCAGACCAGCGCGCGGGAGCCGGCGTGGGGTCAAGTGCAGCTGAGAAGCACGGACCCGGCGGATTTGCATCTTACCCGTGAGTGTGCTGCTTGCTTCCCCTTCGCTTCCTTTCTCCCTCTCCCCTTCTTCCTCGGCTCTCTCCCCTCCGCGCTTTGTGACCAGGTGCCTTCAACACGAGGTGAGACAGAAATCAAGTGAACAATAAGAGTTCCTCCCCTTTGTATAGGGAGAAGGGAGGAATAAGCATTTACTGAGCACTTTTTGTGTGCAGACGCGCTTGCAGGGACATCTCATTTCTTCTCTGCAGCCTTGGGAAGGCTGTAGCAGTCTGCCCATTTAACAGAGAGGAAACTTAAGCATCCAGGCAGTACGGTTAGGAAGTGCAGAGCTAGGAGCTCATACCCAAGTCGACATGTCTGACTTCAAAGGCTGCCCCTTGTAAACTCCTCTCTACTACCAGGTTGAGGGTCAGTGGAGAAAAGCCAAAGCGGAGATGGGAGGGCCCATTTGGAGCTATATAGAACTAATGAACAAGGAAAATTATGTCCATTATACAGATGAGGAAACAGAGGCACAGAGGTTACCTGTCTTGCCCTACAAAAAAACGAAAAAACAAAAAAAAAAAACCCAAAAAACCAGAAAAAACAAACCCTAACCCGTTGCCGTCGAGTCAATTCCGACTCATAGCGACCCTATAGGACAGAGTAGAACTGCCCCATAGGGTTCCCAAGGAGCACCTGGTGCATTCGAAGCTGAACTTTTTGGTTAGCATCCAAAGCTCGTAACCACTACGCCACCAGGGTTTCCTCTTGCCCTACAGCATACAGCGAATAAATATATCATCGTCTGATTTTTTTTTTACCCAAGTCTGTTCTACAGATGCAAACTCTTTGCCTAGAAAACACTTCTGCCTAGAAAGCATTTTTTACCTACGTGACCTCAAACCATTTCAAAGGCTACCTAGTGCTGTAAAGTGAGAGGATCAGCGAAAACGAGGAAGACTCTCAATCAGTGACTGCAACAATGGTCTCAAACATTGCAAAGATTGTGAGGATGGCACCGGACGGGACAGTGTTTCGTTCTGCTGTACATAGGGTCGCTTTGAGTTGGAACCGACTCCATGGCACCTATTAGTGCTGGGGTGGGGGTGGGTGGGGTGTGGACGGATGACGAAGAGGAGTGGGGGAGGAGGAAGGCCACCGTTATGCTGCTCTTTGTACACAAGAGGAAACGGAGGCACGTGTCTTTCCCTTTTTTACATTACTTTTCAACATTACAACAAGCAGCCCGTTTATAAAAGTAATATTATTTCTATCGCCCTTTATGACAGTCTGGAACCCTGGTGGCGCAGTAGTTAAGGTTCAGCTGCTAATCAAAAGGTTGGCAGTTCGAATCCACCAGGCGCTCCTTGGAAACCCTATGGGGCAGTTCTATTCTGTCCTACAGGGTCCCTATGAGTCGGAATTGACTCGATGGCAACGGGTTTGGTTTTTCTTTTCTTTTTTGGTTTGGTAGTTGATTCTGAGGTGTGGAGAGGTTTGTGAACCACTGTTCTAAGCACATATCTTGCTGAGGGTAGTAAGTATATGGGCCTGCCACCAATGTATCTGTTCATAGGAAATCTGTCCTGAATGCCCCTACACAGCAGAGGTTCCTTCCTGGGGTCCATGATCTTCCTGAAACTGTATGCAGATTTTGGACTCTATATTTTTCTGAGTCCACAGATCTGTAGATTTTCAGATGAGTCTGTGGCCCAGAAAGCATTAAGAACCACTCCCCTACAACTGCTCTTTAAAACCCTTGACTTCCTTCAACTCGTACTTGAGAAAGAAGTGTCAGAAATGAAACTGAATTTGACCCCCAAACCACAGTTCTCTGCCACTGATATAGCACTTCCGTTTCCTGGCTCTAGGATAGGTTGCTAGGTTGCCCTTCTGTGAGCTCTTGAGGGAACTTCTCCGTTGCTGGATTTGCCATCCCTGGCCCCAGAGAAGGAACAACTCCATGGAAACGGCATGCAGGGCTGTCCAGAGTGAGTGGACTGTGAAGCAGTGGCTGAGAAGCCTACTCCATTTTCCCTTACTTCTGGTTCTTGGAGAGCAGGTCTTTCCTTTATGTAGAGCGTGGCTAGGAGGCTCCCGCAGGGCTTTTGGGAGTCAATTGGTGGTGGTGGCATGCACTGCCCAAGTGAACTGCACAAGTGCAAAAGCCTGGAAGCCTGACACCCTTCAGTTGCTGTTGGGTTCGTCTTTAGCCTGCTAAGGTACTTCATCTGCTCCTTTCTGCCTTCTAATTTCCAACTCCAATACCTAGACTTCCTTGGAGTAAGCAATCCAAATTTGGAGATGAAGCACCTTCCATCTCAGGATTGTGGCCTTTCTCTTGGGGATGGAACACTGAGGTGGTGGTGAGGTGAGAGTGGAGGCGGGGAGGTGGAGGTAAAGAGAAGGCAGGATGCTCACCTCACAGTCAGGGGTGAGATGCTGGCAGTAGCTCTTGGGTTTCATTCAGACTTTTGCTACCCCTCCCCAGCACAATGACCTCTGATCCCGGCCTCTAGGCAGACTCTTGTTCTGCATTTAAATTGGCTTCATCACCAAATCAGATGATCTGCATTTGGACCTGGTGGGGGGTGGGATCAAATAGGACAAAGAAAGATCTCAGAGCTTTGACAAAAATCCGTGAAAGGAAATGGATTCTGTAAAGATGCCTGGTTTGGGCCATTAGAACTAAGTGAGGGTCTCTTCCTGCAGGGCTGGGAGGAGCATTTGCTAATCTGGGATACAGAACATCCCTTACCTCTTGCCGCCCGCGTGGCAGTAGCTTCCAATTGATGGCTCTAATGAGGCCACATTGTCCAGTTTTAACAAATGAACTTTAAAAGCCTAAAGATTAGGAGTTTTTAGTTGCAGCATTAATAGCTACCTTGGCTGCCCGCCTCCTCTGTGCCAGGAAATTTCCATCTGTTATCTCATTTAAGCTTCTCAGTAACTCTGTTGAGACAGGCATTGTTATCCCATTTTGCAGACAGGGAAAACGTTTCAGGGAGGTTAGGTAAGTTGTGTAAGTTCACGCAACTCTTAAGTGGAGAGGCACTGGGACTCCAGCCCAGGGCTGTCAAACTCCCAAACCCATGACCAACTCTTCTCTGCTGTCTTCCAGACAAGGAAATGCAAGTGCATTCTGCAGATGATCCAGTGCATTAGAACAATTTCAGCCTTAAAAACAATTTAGTTGTAATCTTACCTTCATTCTCGTTATCCCATTTTTAAATGAAACAACTATTATAATTTATGGATCAAATTACATACTTAGCACTTTATTTACTTTCTCTCATGCAACCTTCATGACACTCCTTTTACAGATAAGGATACTGAGGGTCAGAGAGGTAAACAGACTTGGCCAAGGTCATAAAGCTAGGAAGTGGCAGAGTGGGATTCAAATCCAGGCTTTGTGATTCTAGAGCCCCCTCCGTGCCCTGCAATGCACAGCAGCGGCGGGGGGGGGGGAATGTGGCCCTCATTCTACTCGATTCCTCCCTATCAGCCTCAGCTCTCCCTATCCCATGGCCTGCATCCTGTCCCCACTTGTGGTTTTAAGCCTCTGTGCCTTGGCCAGGACTCTCTTAGCCTAGAACGCCTCGCCTCACTTCTCCACCTAACAGAAGCCTGCTACTCACTGGAAATTTTTTGAGTGCTCCCTGTCTTGGGTGAAATAAATTGCTCTTGTGTTTCTCCTTCTACCTTGATTGTTAGTGTTGTTGGGTGCTGTCCATTAGATTCCGACTCATAGTGACCCCATGTGACAGTGTAGAACTGACCCATAGGGTTTT